CGGACGGTGTATGTATATCGTACGGGTGTATAAGCATTGCGTAACAATCGTAACAATCGGATGCCGCGGTTATTGGGGACAGTTAGTTTGGAGGTTTTTCACGGTTAACTTCCTGGGAATTCAATTGTTTGGTACGAAGAAATCGTCTCCTCCTTGCTGGTCATTTATTATGTGGGCAATCGCGAGCGGATGCATAGATAGGGGAAGTACGGAATGTATCGTGCGGGTGAAGCACTGCGCAAAAGACAGACGCCACTTGTTGGATGCCAGTTTCATTTTTCAATTGTTCCTCCTCATTGAAGACTCCCCCGAACAGGCAAGCCTCCCCCGAAAAAAACGCGCAAGGCGCAACGGATGCCACGATATTCTTTCGAAGAGCCTGCTGTTGGAAAAAACAAAAACACATGCAACACATGCCCTAGCAACTGCAGCAGCAGCAAGGGCGAAAACCCATGGCCGTTTTTCCCTACCCCGAACAGGCAAGCCCCCCCGAAAAACACGCGCAAGGCGCAACGGATGCCACGATATTCTTTCGAAGAGCCTGCTGTTGGAAAAAACAAAAACACATGCAACACATGCCCTAGCAACTGCAGCAGCAGCAAGGGCGAAAACCCATTCCCANCATTGAAGACTCCCCCGAACAGGCAAGCCTCCCCCGAAAAAAACGCGCAAGGCGCAACGGATGCCACGTTTTTTTTTGAAGAGCCTGCTGTTAAAAAAAAAAAACACATGCAACGCATGCCCTAGCAACTGCAGCAGCAGCAAGGGCGAAAACCCATTCCCAACTTTCCCTACCCCGAACAGGCACGCCTCCCCCGAAATAAACGCGCAAGGCGCAACGGACGCCACGATATATTTTTTAAGAGCCTGCTGTTGAAAAAAACAACAACACATGGAACGCATGCCCTAGCAACTGCAGCAGCAGCAAGGGCGAAAACCCATTCCCATTTTTCCCTACCCCGAACAGGCAAGCCCCCCCAAAATAAACGCGCAAGGCGCAACGGATGCCACGATATTTTTTTGAGCCTGCTGTTGAAAAAAACAACAACACATGGAACGCATGCCCTAGCAACTGCAGCAGCAGCAAGGGCGAAAACCCATTCCCATTTTTCCCTACCCCGAACAGGCAAGCCCCCCCAAAATAAACGCGCAAGGCGCAACGGATGCCACGATATTTTTTTGAGCCTGCTGTTGAAAAAAAAACAACACATGCAACGCATGCCCTAGCAACTGCAGCAACAGCAACCCCAACCAGCTAGCTAGATATTGTTGCCCTTTGCCTTCGCCAGGTCTACCTGGAGTTGCATCATCCTGATTTGGTTATCACGATCTGCTTTTTGCTCTACCCGTGCAGCCGCCCTCTCCACCTCCCGCTCTTGTCTGTCGTGTTTCCTTTCATCTTCCCGCATTGCCCTCTCGTGGGCCATCATGTCCAGGAGCTCCTGCCTCCTCCCTACCTCTCGTTTAGCTTCCGCCGCCCACCTCCTCTCGTCCTCTTCACGTCTCTGATCGGCGAGTGACCGAGCGTCAGCCACCTGTCGCTCCATGAAGCTGGGACACGTGGCACAACGGCGCAAGAGAGACACCAGGGTAGGATAAGCTCTGGCACCTCCCTGATGGAGTAGCCAACAATATTACTGCTANATTTCTGATCGGCGAGTGCCCGAGCGACTGCCACCTGTCGCTCCATGAAGCTGGGACACGTGGTACAACGGCGCAAGAGAGGCACCAGGGTAGGGTAAGCTCTGGCACCTCCCTGATGGAGTAGCCAACAGTAGTAATGCTGCGATGACACTTCTCTGGTACAGGTTACGTCCACCAAAATAATCTAACAATAATGCACAGCGTCTACCACACGAAGGAAATAGAGAACCAAGACACGGGCAGAGTCGACGAACAACCTTACCTATCTAGCCCATCCTCGGCGAGCTTAATGGTCTTGGCACGGGGCTTCCTTCCACGGTTTCCCGAAGGTCCACNGCTGCGATGACACTTCTCTGGTACAGGTTACGTCCACCAAAATAATCTAACAATAATGCACAGCGTCTACCACACGAAGCAGTTGCCATGACCAAGACATGGACAGAGTCGACGAACAGCCTTACCTAACTAGCCCATCCTTGGCGAGCTTTTTGGTCTTGGCACGGGGCTTCCTTCCACGGTTTCCCGAAGGCCCACTCGCCCCCCCTGAAGCGTGGCTGCCTGACATGGCGTGCGCACCCCCCACTCTTGCAGAACCGGGCCTGGATGTCTGACCGGCGGCGGACAGCCAGGAGTTCGTCACGCCGGCGCCGAGCACCAACAACGAAGCCACCCGCTTCGTAACCTGAAGCACCTTGTCCGGCGTAACACGATCTATGGGCCATCTGCTGTGAAACCAATTCGATTCCGGCAGGCTGCGGAAGCCCATCATTTCCACGCCGTAGAGCTCAGGCAGTTTAAACATGACCGACTCGTCAAACCTACCAAACCCGGGCAGCTGCATATCCTCTTCGCCAAGATCATCCATGTAGTCTTAAACGCTGTCTCCGTCGCGCTGGAGACTAAGCCTTTTGTCGAGTAGTACCGTCATTATGGCCACGGCCCTTTCCGGCTGAACTTCGTCGGGCGTGAAGCCCGTGTTGAGGAAGTAGTCCGCCTCCTCCGTGGTGACCCCGGCACTTTCCGCAAGCATCGGAATGGTCAGCGACCCCATGTGCTTCACCAAGTCGCCAAGCGGTGGAACCTTCCTCGATGGCCCGCTCCCCGCGGGCGAGAAGTCGTCGTCTAGCCCGCCCGTACTCATGGTCGGGCTCGATCGACCGCTGGCAGCGCCACCCGCCGAAGCCTCCGACGCGGGCCTCGCCCCCCCGNATTACCGCCGCGTCCGGATCTCCGCTGTACTTGTCTAAGGGCAGCTTCATATNCCCGTCTTGGTCCACAAGAGTGACGTTGGGAGTGCGTACCCTTCCCACCCTACTGACGCTCTCAAGCAAAACCCATGAGCCTAATTACCGCCGCGTCCGGATCTCCGCTGTACTTGTCTAAGGGCAGCTTCATATTGCGCGTACTGTGGTCTACTTCCAGCTGCACACAGTAGTCGTACAGACTGCGCTGCGGAGATTGCTGAATAATCAACCCACCGAACCACCCCATGCCCAGCCGAGCAAGCACTCCACGTTGCAAAAGCAATCTATCAAGAGCAGCGGGGGTAGATTCTTGAAGGCGAAAGCCCGCCGGGATCTCCATTCCCTGCGTCTCGTCCTCCGGGTCGTCTGGGTCCATGCTGTCGTCCTCGTCCAAAAGAGCTAGCTCGTCGGTCTGGGATTGAGACATGTCTGCGACGAAGGGTACCGTGAAACACGAGAAGGAACGTACGGATGTCATCGCCTTTACTCAACTGAAGTGAACACACCATTTGTTCGTAGACGTGACGCGGAAACAGAATGTCAGCAATAATATCCCAAACAGCACAAGAGAAGATGAACAAAAAGGACAATGAA